CCCTCCACCCCCGGCCCGCGCGGCGGCGGGCCCCCGCCTCCCCTCACCAGCAGTCTTTCCCTCGCAGAGGCGGCGGCGGTGGAACCGGCCCCGTTCCGGCACGGCGTCATCCCCGGCTTCCTGGCGGGCCCGGCCTTCGCGGAGGCGCTGCGCGACGAGCTGCTGGGCCTCGGCTTCCGTCGGCGGAGCAACGACCTCCTCTCGCTGCGGCAGGTGGGCGCCGGGCCGGGCCGGGCCGCCCCGAGCCGGTCCCCGCCGCCCTAACCCCCGTCCCTTCTTCTCTTCCATGGGCCGCCGCAGTCCGAGGAGCTGGGGGGAAGGCCGGAGCCCCACGTCGCCGCGCTGAGGTAAAGCGCCGGCTCGGGGCGCGGCGGGGAAAGCCCTGGCTGGCTTCCCTGGGAAGGCGAGGGGCCGCGGGGTGGGCCGGGCGGTGGGGACGGAAAGCGGCCCTGAAGAGCCCAATCGGTGTAGGCGGCGGCCCCGAAGTCGGTTAACCGGCTTTCTCCGAGCAGCGCAAGCCGATGCGGCCCTCGTGGATCTGTCACTTCCGAAACGCTCGCCTGCTGCCCTTACAGCGGAGTTCACACTTGCCGCTGGTTATTGTCAGCGGTGTTGTAAATGCTGTGCTGTCTTCCTGGCCAGCTCCTGCGCGGCTCTACGGCAATACGGTGTCTCTGGCAGAAACAGCACCTCTAAGCGTTTAAATAGTTGGACGGGAGATAATAAACTATGGTGATATGTTTTATAACTCCGGAGGATCCTTACCTTGTGCTTGTCTTCTCAGGCATGCTCTGTGTGAAGAATTCCGAGCGTGGCTTTCTGCTGTGACCCAGATTGAGCTGGAACCAACTATTGACATCTCCTGTGCTAAATATGAATATACAGGTCAGTCTATAAGCAAACCTTTCCCTAAAGCTTCTGTGGGTGTGTAGGAAACAGTATGTCTACAGAACACCTAATTACATAACCCACCACAGCCCCTTTCTAGTTCCAGAGGGTCCTAGAAGCTATCAGCAGCAAATCAAAGTCTCAGAAAATGAAGTACAGATTATGGAAAAAGTGTTGCTGTAGTTCTGCTGCTGATGGCTTTAACTGGGCCTGGTGCTGTTGCAAGCCCCCACCTTTTCAGAGATGTTCAGCCCATGTTTGCATGCCTGCTTCCATAAAAAAGGGTGACGTGTTCAGCTTCCTACTGCTACCATTGAGTTTGTGACGTCTAATGCTAAAACGTCACCTTGGTGAGTCCAGGTTACAACTGCACCTACCCTTTTAGTCGTGAAAAATAACTGTAGGAAGGGGGAAAATTTTACTGCTGTCAGCTCTACTTTTAAAAAGTCTTTTACACAACCAATTGTCAGTCCAGCTTTTCTGTTGCCAGGGCTCTCCCTCCTCTCTATTCCAGCAACAAACCTACTCAAAGGGCAGCTCTGTATTTAGAAGAGCTTGAATCATTAAGGCGGGCGTTTCTGTCCACTGTGCCCAGTGGCAGCCAGGGAAGGATGGATGACAATTTAGAACTGCCTGTACCTTCAGAGTGGGCTGATCTGCCAATTGCAGTGCAATCCCACAGAAGTTAATCTTGCAAATCTTGGGCTGGTGATGCTGACAAGTGAAAATGCAGTTCTTGGAAAGGGCGTGTTTTTTCTTGTTGTATCCTTGCGGGGACAAAGCTGGGAAGCAGCCATTGAAATGAATCATGCATGTACTGGAAAGACGCTACTGCAGCAAAACGTGTGTAATTGCAGATGTCTTGCTGTGCCACGATGATGAGCTAGAAGGTCGGAGAATTGCTTTCATCCTGTACCTTGTCCCACCCTGGGAGAAAAGCAACGGGGGAACGCTGGACCTGTATAGCACAGATGGTAGGAGCTCGGAGCTCAGCCTGAGATGGCTGAAAAAGATGAAGCTTTTGCACCCCTTGCAGCAACCCTCTCCTCAAAAAATACAAGGAAGATAAAGAGTTTCTCCTTAGTCCAGAGAAGCTGATGTATATGTAAAACTTGCACCTTAGAGATGGGCTGTAGCAGTCAGTCTTTGCAGACAATGCTAATGGGCAACAGTAGAGAAAAAGGAGAAGCTAAAGAAGAGGGGAATCTTATTTTTTTTTCCCCACTTTTTTGCAAGGGCCAAGAGTGGAGGCAGGATGGACGCGATGGCAGTAACTGTGCTTGGAACTCTAAAGCGATGGAGATAACTTCCCTTTCCAGCAACAAAAGTCCACTGATTCCTCAACAAGCCCTTGCTCTGAGCTCCAGCCCTTATACCGAGGTCTCTCGCCAGTCACAATGTCGTGAAGTCAGAGAGAAACAGCAGTTTCTAGTGAGTTCCCATTCATATCTTAACCAGAGTATGTTTTCTTCCTCCTCAGAACACTTTCAGCCACAGCAAATTGTCAAGTCATTAGTGCCTTCGTGGAACACACTGGTTTTCTTTGAAGTGTCTCCAGTCTCCTTCCACCAGGCAAGAAGCTGTCTCTTGTTCATTTTTTGATTCTCATTGTTGTGGTTATTCATTCCCTGTGTTATTACAGTCCTGATGGAGAGGGAGAAGGGAAAGGGAGAAGTGTGGGTAGAGTGGATGGATACTCATGCTAAGTGCTGTATGTAAAAGGCAGGGCTTCAAGGACTTTAAGGAGGACAAGAACTGACAAAGCCAACTTTAAACTGTCAGTCTAGCTTCATCATCCTGGGGGAAGAAAAATTTCCATTTCTGCTTTGTGTTGCTATCCTGGCAAGCCACTGCTGTGGATTTGGCTGTGGTGATAACAGATTTTGTTTGTTTGTTTGTTTGTTTTAAACTAGCTCACATTTTTCATGTGGATGCCACGACTTTGCTCCAGAAGAGCTCCTCACCTTGCCGATAGGGCACTACGTGGCTTTACCCCCTCAGTACCATAGATGTAGCGCGGTACCCTACAGCAGAAATGCCAATATGGTTAAGTAGCACTTTGTGGCACTTATCAGGAAGATGGCTGGAAACAGGATGAATAATCTGTGGAACCACATGATACAAACACCTGACTGAAATCTGAAACTCCTGTGTATTTGAGAATACCACGGACTGTAACAAACAGGGCCAAAGAGCAGAAGGTTGGAGAGGAAGAAGATCAGTGATGTAGGTTGGGCATGTCCACACCTAGACTGCTTAGGCTTTTATTTTTGTGTCATTTATGCCTTAGAATTAATTAACAGAAGCATCTACTCAGTCACTGCCCTAATTGTTTTCAGGTAGCGATTTAATCTTGTCAGAAAAATCTATGTTCCAGTTAGCCTTGTGACTCTCTCCTACTGACCTAAACTTAATCCCACGCATTAGCACTATTCAGAGTTCTGTCTACTGTCTCTGATACTGTTAACGCAGGCAATAAACTCAGCTTAAATAATAAACTTGTTTTTAAAATAAGCATTAAGCTTAACTGGGAGTGCTGTGAATTAAAGCTTCCCAGATCTGGACCTCACTAGTTGTGCCCAGAGTATCTGCTGAACCACTGAATCATTTCTTTGACCCTTTCGTCAGTAAAGCGTGGAGCCTGCAAATTACCGTTAGAGGACTGTGTGAGGGTCAGACTGATATGAAGCCTTCACAGCACATGGCAGCCTTAAAGCCCTCTCAGACATTGGGCAAAGAGCATTTAGTCAGTACTTCCTAATAGATCTTCAGGTTTGGGGCTTCATGTGTACACTTGTCAGGAGATAACAAATAAAGCTGTGGGTGTTTGCTGAGCAGAGCAGGTCCGTGACCTTTCAGTGGCAGGCAGTTTTCTGGTTTCCATTTCCCAAGTGATTTAGGATTCAGTAACCATTCTAAATAACATAAAACACCTCTAAGTCATGCAAGAAAAGGGCCAGTACAGCTCTGTAACAATTAATAAAAGCCAAACCTTTTCGGAACAGACTGTCTTTCTTCCTTCTGTTCCATCAGACTGTTCAAAAAAACAAAACAAACAAACAAAAAAACACCAGTGCAAAGTCTTTATGTGCTATTCAAAAATTCACAGTTTGTGGCTAGCAACAAGTCATAAGGGGATGGCTTTCTCTTCATGCTGCTGTTACAGTACAGCACCCTAGAATGTGAAATTGTTCAATTTAGCCCAATTTACCTAGGTGTGCACTTTGATGAAATCAAGATTTAATGGTGGCCATCACTGCATGAAAACCAAGGGTTTCCACAGACCAGGTTAAATGCCAGGACAGAGGGGTTGCTCTTAGTCTGACAGATAGGTAGACCTTTATCCAGAGCCAAAAGCATCAGGCAAATGCCCTTCATGATAGCTTGTATTACAGCACTTCTTCAAAATTAAAAGACAAAAAAGTAGACCGATACAGTCTGCTGTGGCCCACAGATATTCAGTGTTTTCCAGATTAAGCTGTGACAGCTAATTTTTGCAGCCTATGATAGCTGGTTCTTCAACAGAGCAAATGGTAGGAAACTAAAATACCCTCACTTGTGGTAACAGAATGACTCAAAGCTCTCAGAGAGAGGGAATGGATTCTGCTGGGAGCTTGGAGTGAAAGCTTGGCCTGGGATTCTGTAACCTACAATGAACTTGAGCGTTGAAGTTTGCTTTAAGCCCTCGTTCTATAAACCAAGAATAATCCAGCTTGGTCTAGCCCTTGTCTGACTTCTCTGTGTATCCAGTAGGCTCTTTGGAGTCAGGTCCGTCTCCTTTGATGAGTCTACATGGTGCCTGTTACAGCTGTTTTGTAGTCTGTTAAATGTTTTGTAGTCTGAACAGTAACATGCTGCCCAATGTTGTTGCAGGTGTCAGAAGTTTTGTCTGAGGAGAAGTGCCGCTTGTCAGTGAGCGGCTGGTTTCATGGCCCATCAATAGTCAGACCTGCACGCCACATTGAAGGTCCCTTGCCCAGGAGCCCACACATCCCCTATGATGTGAGTAACAAGCCTAGATCTCCTTATCTCCATTTCTATTTCTTTCATGTCCCTAGAATAGCTCTTAGTGGATGCACTGATGCTTGGGGATGCTTTAATCTTTAACTTATCCCATTCTCTTTTTTTGTTTCCTGTCCATAAATTCATAGCTGGTTTCTTTCTTGCATATCATGTATATCTTTCTTGACTCCGTACATTTTGCATACCTACAATAGTGCAGAGAATGTAGCAAATACTCATGGTGCAATTAAAAAAAAAAAAAAAGAATGGAGTGTGTGTGGGGCGGAATCCAGCCCTATGGCCAGCTGGGTAAGGGGGAACTGGGGAATCATTTTTACTTTTGCAAATTCAGCATTCAAGTCCATTTCCCTTCCAGCACGAAATCTTGTATGAGTGGATCAATCTAGTTTATTTGGACATGGACTCCCAAGCTCAAATCCAGGAGGAATTTGAGGAGCGATCAGAAATTCTCCTGAAAGATTTTCTTAAGGTGAGCCCAGTGGTTCAATCTGATGTGGTCTGCTAGAACAAGTCACAGGGCTGGTAGGTACCACATGTCATGCAGACTGGGAAAGGGCTTGCTTGTTCAGCTGTCAGCTAAAACACCTTCTAGTTTCACTCCCTAAAGGTGAATGGACCGGATGACCTCCAGAGGTCCCTTCCAACCTCAACCATTCTGTGATTCTGTGGGTGGATCCCCTTTGCCTGCCTGTACACTGCTGCACAGGGACTCATCAAAAATCACAAAATTTACTTCAACATTCTTGTTTCATACAAGCAGCAAAGCAGAAGGATGGAAACATGTCATCCTACCTGCTTCATAGCCTTGTGGTGACCAGAGTGTCCTTCTCCTGTCCCTCAGCCTCTTGCAGCACTTGGGGAACTCAGCCTGTGTGTGAAATAAATGACCCATAATAGTTTTGTCTTACTGAAAAGGCCTTGCTTCTCAAGGCTGATTTACCTCTGGTTTACTGGGCATCCCCATCTCAATGAAATTGCATTCCCACCCAGCAGACAATCAAGTAGCATCTGATATCTGTCGGTCACTGGCATTGAAAAGACATGATGCCCACCCAGGCTATGCCCCTCAAGTCAGCAGTCCTTAGGCACTCAAACAAGTGAGAAAAAAATTAGAGTAGACAATGGCTGCTTCTAGCACACCAAGGGAGATGAGGGAGCTACATGTTAAAGTTTCTGCACTATCTTTCTCTCCTAGAAAGAGAAATACCAACTGCTATGTGAAACTTTGGAGAACAAAGACATCCAGTGGAGTAGCCGGGGGCCTGCCAATAAAAGGTGGGCAATGACAGCGTCCTGCACCTATTGATCAGGCCAAGCAGGAACTGCCATGAGGCTGCACTGGTTGACACTGCCCCCATGGACGTGGTCCCTGTTGGTTCTCCACTGCTGATATCTCTGCTGTCTTTCAGACTCTATGAGGCAGCAGAGGAAGACAGCCTCCCTGACATCCTGAAGAAATTCCTGCAGTTCTTACGCTCTGAGGCCTTGTTTTTACTGCTTTCCAACTTCACTGGCCTAAAGCTGCACTTCCTGGCTCCCTCTGATGAGGATGAAGATGCTGGGGAAGGAAGAGCAGCAGATACCACTGGGCACAGCAGTCCCAAACCTGAGCAGGAAGAGCCTGAACAACATGCTGATAGCAATCCACATCAGTCAGACCAGCCTGCCAACATCCCTGAAGCACAAGACAGCGAGATGCAGAACAGTAAGTAGAACACTAGCAGTGTGAAAGGACTTGAGCAAAATCCTGATGTTAAGGGTGTTGGCAGCAGAATTCCCAATGATTTTCATGGAACTAGCATTTCACCTTGTACTGCAGCCAGCACAAGGCACCAGCACAAGCATGGGACTTGAAGCATGTCAGATTGGGTATCCAAAGTAAGTGACCATCACAAAAGAATTTGGACTAAATTAATGACTAACTTGAAGATACCGCTTTGAGCAGTCTTAAGGGTGGGACTTCTGTAGGAGTTACGGCATGGGTGAGGAGGGGGGAGTGTTAATTAATTGCCCAGTAATCTGTTGCCAATAGTTACGTGGTTTCTACGTCCACATACTTCTGCTTTATATAAAGTAGACTCTCATATGAGATACCAAATCAAAAAGGAAAAAAGTGAACAGATTAGAAGTAAAGATAATTTCAGAATTAGAAAACTGATACCTAGAACTAGGATTTAATCTTTCAGAAAATGCTGCCAACCTAAATAACCACTTCATTGTCAGCCATGAGATATCATTGCTATCAAAGATTAGATTAATTTTGGATTTGTGAATTGGTGCTGTTTATTTAAAACAGTGGCTTTGAAGTTTAAGGGTAGAATTTTTGAAAATGCTTGTCTTGCATGGGGTCAGGCAAGTTAGTGGTCACTGAAATAAAAGGTAATAAAAAATAAGTCCTACTGAAAATCCCACCAGAACACTTACTTGGTACAAAGGCCTTGTTTTTCTGATTTCCACAGCTAGTCATTTTACCTCTCCTATCTGCCATGTTCCTGCTGTGTGATTTTAAATTCTCATGAGGAGGGCATAGTTCGGGGCTGTATGGATTGAAAACTGAGCTAGAGGCATGAGAAAAGAAAGGCTTTCCCAAATTCTGACATAACTCCTGGGATGGCACATGAAGAGTGAGTTCAGAGCAATATCCTTCTTCACTGAAGTTTCTGGTAGTTTCAGGGTACTTCCAGAGCAGATAGGTTGCTGGATTTTTCAGGTTTGGAGCTCTACTGTAAATCCAGGGATGGGGGGGGAGAAAACACATCATAGCTTGGCCCCACTCCTCCACGTTATTCAAAGTATGTAACTTAGAGTCACCTCTAGAAAAGAAGTTAACATGAGATCTGTGGTTTTACTTTTTCCTCCCTTTACACTTTGCCAGGGCTGGCAAAGACAGTCTCACAGTGGCATGGCAGTGCAGGGTCTTGTCCCCTACATGCCTTCAGCTCAGCAGGCGTTGGCTATTGTACAACTTCATTGCTTTCCCTGGCTTGTTTGTTCCCTCTCCTAGGCTCAGATACCCCCATGTGTGCAGGGGAGCTGAGGCGCTGGACCCACAGGCACTATACTCTAGTCCACGACACTTGGGCAACAGAATTTGCTCTCGACCTGCTCTTCTTCTGTGGCTGTGAGGGTAAGTGGACAAAAGAGAGATGTCAGACTCTCCTTACAAGGTTTGTCTAAAGGAAGGACTTCTGAATTCTCAGCAGTGCTACAGTAGCGAAAATTTCCCTGCTTTTTCCTGCACAGAAGGGCTTTGTAGACTTTATCCCACTCCTCGCTTCTGCATAAGCCCTGATTTCAGTAGTCCTTACACAAAGACTTGGGAGTGTGGCCTTAGGATCAGCTTTGACCTCTCCTGCTGGAGCCAGGAGGTGGCGCTTGGGCAGAAGGAAAGGCTGGATCCCCCGGACCTTTCCTCTCACTAAGCAGTGGCTATGGGCATGGTGGAGGGTCCAGTGGCCAGAATACCCACTAAAGTGTTACGTTTCACCCCTTTTCTCATTAAAATTATCACTGCGCCTCCAATTCACAAACCCCAGGGTTTTCAAAAGTTACTTTAGGCATGTCTAGGCATTTTCGGTTGATTGCTAGTTAGATAGTGGTGAAAGCAAAAACCTAAACATAAGCATTTTGGACCAGCTGAGCCCAGAATGCACAGCTGAAACCACCTGGCACATGCTAGTAATTATACTGAAAGCCTTTTGCATATCTGCTAAGGCAAAACTGTTCTACATGTGAGGAGCAGAGAGCCAAGCAACCTTAAATGGCCCGTCTGTGGTAAAAGGCAAATCCAGTACATTTGCTTCAAGTTGTTTCTGATTTGAAATAAAAAAAAGACTGGCAGGAGGTAAACTGGGGATCGTCCTGTATCTGGTAACTGGGGTGGAAAAACAGCATTTCCAGGAAGGCTGTATGGAGCCTGGGCAGTGTTGAACTTTCTAAGAACCTTTCTTTTCTATTTTAAGACTGGGATCCAGAATATGGTGGCTTTACTTCCTACATCGCTAAAGGTGAAGATGAAGAGGTAAGGACCTCAGTTGCTAGCTGCAAATTAGATAAAAGTGTTTAGGGTGGAGAGGCATAACTGCACTTTGTTGTAATGCTAACATAATCCTGAGGGTGCTTGGTATTGCACTGGAGCCTTCCTGCCTGAATTACTGCTCATGGGCGTAGCTCTGGTTTCAGCTTCAAGAGGCTAGCATTCACCGTAAAGCTTAAGACTCAGGCTCTCACGGTGCTGATGCCATCTGCACCTGGTGGCATTTGGGAAGCCTCAGAGGGGCACAAGGCTGTAGCAGAGAGGATGCTTTTCCAGGGAAGTGCTGTTTACTAGGGTCATATTCAGTATCAGTACTAGTGGGAGTGCTGAGCAGTCATACTAATAAGACAACCAGAATCCCTTCAAATGAATGTTGCTGTCTAATAAATGCTTTAGGATAAGGGATATTAAAAATGAAATAGTGACATCATTCATTTTCTAACACCAGACCTTTGTTCTGACTAGCTTTTGAAACCCTTTTGTTTGTTTCTTCCTCGGAATGATATCAAAGCCATTTTTGTGGAACTAATTTCCTCCCTTACTTTTGTGTCTTCTAGCTGTTGACAGTGAATCCAGAGGACAACTGCTTGGCCTTAGTTTATAGAGACAAAGAAACTATGAAGTTTGTGAAATACATCAATCATCATAGCTTGGCACGCCTGAAAAAGCATCCAAACAGAACAGGATTTTGGGATTTTTCCTTTGTCTATTATGAGTGATGGTGCAGAGTGTGACCATCGTCACACAGAAAATGGTGGTGGGTGCAGGGCAGGTTTCTATCCAGGCGTTCAGCTGGGGCCCGTCTAAGCCCAGATAAACTTTGCCACTGCTAACTTCACCACACTGTATATGAGCTGTACCCTACCACGTGGGGTCCAGGTGACTTTTTTAACTGTACAAATGGAAATCCAGTCTTCCCCTGAGTGCATTGTAACACACACTCTCGACTGCTTTTAACGCTACGCAGAGGGGGTCATTGTCACACAATTGACAGCTGCTCTGTCAGCTTTCCAGCTGTTCTCTCATGGAAATAGCACACAGGGGGATGTGTCTAATCTGTCAGGGTGAAAATTACAACCGTGCATTGCCCCAAGCTGATGACTGACTTTTATTAAAGAAAAAAAAAAAAAGGAAGTGGGTCAGTTAAATGCTTCAAACTCTGGTTGGGCAAGTTTTGTTACAAAATGCCCAAGACATTTTCTGGGCCTTAACTGTGTTGACTGTTTGTAGAAATAAAGGAGCTGCCACGGGAAATAAGAGGTTTTTCCAGCTGCACAACTCTGTGGAGTTGGGAAGGAAGATGGTGAGGCTATAAAGCTGCTGGCGTTGAGAAGGACCTGGCGCTGTAACAAGGAGCAGGACTTTATTATGCTAAGTGCTGGGCAGACAGACCCAGATGCAGCCCTTTCTCCAAAGAATTTACAAGCTAAAGAGATGAGAGAAGAGACCTACTCCTGTGTTTGTGAGTACGTGGATAGATGGCTGCTTCAGGTGTGAAAGGGTTGTGGCTCCAGCCTCAGAAAAGGGGCAGTGGGCTGGTAGCAGGAAGGTGGTAACTCACCTCTTCCTGGCTTGTCATCCACAGGCAGCAAGAGGGTCACTGACAGCATGGCCTCACATCATGTTAGTTTTGTCCTGGGGTCTGCTGGGCTCCAACGTGGCTTCTGTCACTGGAGATCAGCTCAGGTCTTTCCAGGTAGCAGATAGCCAGGCCTTGTGGTAAACAGTACAAGAATGGCAGTGGTCTTAGTGCAGTACACGCCCCTGCACACGCCTTCAGTACAGTTCACCTGCCCCACATTCACTGCAAGCAGGACTGCCTGTCACCACTGAGGTGTCCACCCCACCAAGAGGTGCTGTTGCAGAGCTGTGCTCATTGCTTCAGGAGGCAGCCAGACTGCAGAACACCCTGCTGGAGGCTCAGTCCTGGCCTGCATGTGCTTGCCTGAAACTTTTTTTGGCAATCAAGAGAGACAGATGTACTGTCACCTCATCCAAGTCAGACAGCACAGGCCATGGGCTTGTAGTGAGCTGGTGAGAGTGTGCACATTTCATTCCTCCTGCTTCTCCTGGGTTGGGAGAGGGTAGATACGCATTAGTCTGCTGCTTCTCCAGTTCCAGGCCTGTTGCTGAAGACCACCACGGCAATGTAAGACCACAGCTGGCAGCGGAGGAGCAGTAAGCTCAAAGCAAGGCTAGCTGTGTTGGCACATGCGTACTCTGCACCCTTCACAGAGTGGGACATCCTTTGGGCATGCCTTCATGAAGATACAGGAGCAACAACCTTCAGCCGTGATCCCAACACACAAGGTTCAAAAAAGGAACCACTGAAGCATGAAGCAGCTGCCATTGCTTCCAATATGAAAGGTGTCTCAGCCCCCACTGATGCCAAAGCAAGGGGACAACACAGCTGCTTAGAGAGTGATGCACAGGAACTGTATAGATGCAGTGTTGGTTCAGTCCTGGACTATTAGCAGTTGCTCAGTTCTAGCTTTTCCCTCCGTCACTGCTGGGCAGGGAGAACAGATGGAACATGGTTGCTCCAAGCTGCTATTGCAACATCTATACCGGCTTGTTCATATTCTGATTTGTCTCCCTAAGCTGGCTTCTCTGTGCAGTGCCAAGACTTTCTTGCTTGGTTTTAATGTTCCTCTGCTACTGTTTTAAGCTACTTAAAAGACAAGGGGATGAAGTTAAACACAAGAACAGGGCACTCTGCATGAATCACTAGTTTCTGGGCAGCAGCTGTTCTTGGGGAGAAAGTAGTTCTTATTCTGAGCTGCCCCAGCAGAAAGTAAGTAATGGAGGTTTCAAAAAAAAAAAAAAAAAAAAAAAAGAAAATCGTTTGGGTAGTTTTGAACAAAGGTGACAGATACCACAGCTATTCACAGCATACTCAACTAGGCAAAGTTGGGAGTACATTAACAAAACAAAATTACTTATTCTACTGCATTATCAGCCTAAGAGTGTGTTTGGTAGACCTTGGAACAGCCTCCCGGAAGACTGGGAAGAAGCTGGGCTCTCTGAAGCTTGCTGCTTTTTAATAATAAATAATACACTAGAGGGCATACCAGCCTCTACTTGAGCAAGCCTGTATCTATCTAATCACACACAGAACCACCCTTCTGCCTCCGGTGACTGAGATGAAGTAATTTAAGGAGCCAAATTTGCAGTTAGCATTCAAAGATTTAAAAATCAACACATCTCTGCTCTCCTACCCTTCCTGTTTGGTCCCAAAAGCCAAAGGCAGCCCCACACATCGCTGGTGCTGCAGGTACAGCGGAAAGACACTGCTCGCTGAAATTTCAAGTGACATGAGCTGTTTGGGGGAGAGGAAGGGGTCTGCAGTTAGACCGTGCCAATAATGGGAGCCCTCTCTATAGATGCTCTTGCTGTATTTACAAATAGGTGCAGCTGCTTGCAAAGTACTCTGATCATTATGGAAAGGAATATGAATATGAAATATATACATACCCACAAAATGAGTAAGTAGGACAATACAGAAAAATAGGACTGAGAACAGCAAGCACCTCCAAAGCCTGGCATCTGATGCAGGGTACCAGCAGCTTTTGGTTACTGAAATGCTGTTATGCAAATGATTTGGTGGTTATCAGTTTGCCAAGTAGCTAAGAACAGGAACAATTCAATATGGAGCAAGAAGCAACAGTTTAGCTGTAGACCAAACTAAAGGAATGGTTTTGGCATTCATAAACATGCAGCAAAGTTCTGACATCAGGTATTCAGTAAATTAGTATTAAGAGCAGCAGGATTATCCATGGGACTAGGAGAAAGGGGCTAAAATCAGATAACCTGTTGCCAAGTGTCAGTTCGAATTGTTTGGGTTTTTTTTAACTCCAAAGTGGAACTTGAATTAGGACATTGAAAATCACTGTTACATAGATCCCTCTTCAGCAGGCACTGATCCAGCCTCCAGCCCAAAGTGAAGTTTCACGCAGGCACCGAAGTGCCCCAGCAGGGCAGCACACATACCAAGGTGTGGTGCCATCTAAGCAGCCTTGCCCATGGATTTTTAGCAACATGCAGCTCTACTAGTGTAGTTTCAGAGGTTATTCTGTACTTGACCAGCCGCTTAACCTGCTGTGACCCCTCCCATACCTGAGAAGGGGATCAGTAGGCATTAGTCCTGGGCTGAATCATACCAGTGGTGACTTCACCACTGATTTCCTGGTGCAGGTTCAGCTTACATCAGCTTGCTGCTGCACACCAGCCAAGGGCTGCTTTATTTCAACTGGCAACTGCAAACCTGGTATCACTGCAGCTTACAGGACATGGATTTTACCTTTGGCAAAGATAAAAGTCGTTTTTACAGGAAAACAAATGACAAATTTGTTGTCAGAAACTTAGCCAGGGAAATCAGCCTTATCAGAGGTCTGGACTGTGACCAAAGGACTGACCTCACTGCCAAGAGGAAAACAGAGCTGGGACTGGAAGTGCCTCGTGTGCAGCCCTGAAAATCAGGCTGATGGGAAAGCTGCTTTCTGATCAGAGCCACTCTCTTATCATCGAATGGACTACATGAATGTCAGTAAACAAGCATTAGGATTTTGAACATAAAGAACAAGAGGTTGAAACAGTGGGAACAGGTACAGCAGGTGGCAGAAAGCCCAGCACTTATGCCAGGAGACTGTTCCATAATCAAAGTCTTAAAGCTCACTTGCTTAGAACAGCATGGGTGGCTCACCACCCTTTTACCAAGGAGCTGCATTTGACTAACAACCAGGTTCTTAAAAGAATTCAAATGAGCTCCTGCTGCAGATCTGAAGCGACAGACATCTGTGCTTTTGGCAGCGCAGCTCTCCGTATTGAAGGGGCCAAAGCAGTGGCAAGGGGCCATTTAGGGAATTAAAACACATTGCAAGAATTACACTCCCCTTTCAGCTGGTTGCATGCTCACCGGTTGCTCTGAAACGAATGGTGGGCTGCTGGCTTTAATTCAGCAGTGGCAAGTAAGAGACAGACCAGCTGCAGGACATGAATACTCCTGACAGCCCCAAGCAGCTACCCAAGAACTTTGCTTCACAGAGATGGACTGCCTCCTCCCTGCCCACATGAATGGCACAGGAGCTAGGAGCACTGGGGCCCAGCCTCCATCGTGTGCAGGATATTTTTAGCTTCTAGAAGAACTTTTCTTTGGCAAAGGTTCTAAAATATCTTTAGATCTAAGATAGAGCCTTACTGTAATATTTTAATCCAATTCTAAGAGATCCCACAATTAATAAACAGGTTTGAGCCAGGAGCCAAGACATTTTTCAATACATTCTTCTTTTGATCCCATTAAGTACTGCCAGCTCTTTGTGTATGCACCAAACTTGGGTGTGTAGTTTGTTTTCGTTGTTCCTGAAATGCACCCTTGCCCACCTCAGTATCTGCAGTTTTTTCCAGCAGTAGCAGGGAACCAGTAGCTGGAAGCAAAACTTGCTGCAATCCAGGCATGGGGAGAGTGTCGGACATGAAACAGACCACTTCCTACCTGCGTGGATTGTGGAACTGGACAGCTTTCAAAGATCTTCTGGTTCAACAGCAAGCAAGAGACATTATCCCTTTGGTGCTTCTAATGCACTGAATTGCAGTTTACCTAGAAAGCAGCACATCCCTGCATTGAAACCCAGGATTCTCCAACCCAGAGAGTTTAAGTGCTTAGTATGCACAGAGACTATGCAGCAAAACCAGAGAAGTGGTTTGTTTGGGTTTTTTTCAACAAATAAACTTAACCATATGCATCTCCCCAACTAAATCAGAACACAAGCAGTCAAAGCAGTCTTAATGTTTTAATGGAAAAGGCCGATGCCTTAACTACAAAATATATTAAAATACATAAGTTACTGTAAGAAAATAACTGTTCCAAGGTTATACCTCTGTCTTGCATAAATACCACATTTGCACTTAAACTCTGATGCTTTCTTCACGAAGCTTTGGCCTGCATAATAACATTTCTCACCTGATGGCTTAACTAAAATGCTACCTTTGCAATTACTTCCCCTTACAGTGGAGCAGGGGACTGAATTAACCGCTTGTCATTACTGGTCCATTATCTGCCTGCTGCATGGAAACACTGCCTCTGTGCAACTGC